TTACAATTTTTGCGTGTCTGTCTGTTTGTTCCGGGTAATCTCTGGAACGGCTGGACCGATTTCGACGGGACCTTCACTGGCAGATAGCTAATGACATAAGGAGTAACTTAGGCTACTTTTTTTTAGACTAGCTTCGCCCCGCGGCGTTGCCCGCGGTTATAACAACAAACGCGGGTAACACCGCGGGTCTCAGCTAGTACAAAATATAATAATAGAAAATCATGCTTCTATGTACTAGTTTCTTTTAAACAAAGGCAACGGTTATGAGAACCTTTGTCGTGGGAGAGCCACGCTTCGGTACAAATGACCGGAGAGATACCACGCCTCGCAGAAAACCGGTGTTTCTGGTACCCGTACCAGTGGAAAATTCGGATCTCCGACTCCTAAGGGACGCAGTAGCCAGGAGTATGTGTTGTTCCCACTAAAAACCAGCCCGACGGCCGGCCTTATTCGCCCTACTCCGGGGAGGACCCGGACCATGACTACACACGGCATATGGAATACCCTGGTGGAGTGATTCATGTCGGACCCGAACCGACCAAAAACCGCACACGCCGTCTCGGGTACCAGTAGCCAGGGAACCAGGTATACCCTAGAAAGGAAGTCCCTGGACTGTCACCACCCCTATTCATCCCTTGGGTGTCGTAAGAGCCGACTAAGGGAAAAAACTACGCAGGACAACAGCACTGCAGAGAGAAGGAAAACTTGACACAAACCTATACCAACCCGTCTGGCCAGCGTGGTATAGTAGGCCAAAACCTCCTTTCTAAGGAGAGGCTTATGTCCAGCGGTGGACTATTAAAGGCTGTTGATGATGATGAGTTATTAGCGAGGATATTATTTAAGTACTATAAATACAATTATACAAAATAATATACCACAGTGTACGAAAATTAGGTATATCTCATATAATTATTTCATGTAATTTAGAATGCAATGCAAATATTCGAGATCGAAAAATAAGTTTCTTACCCCTTCGTTTGCGTCCATGCTGTTGTCAAAATAATGGAAGCAACTTGAAGTCGATGCATCTTGAACGCGCGCGCGTGTTAATTATATTTGTTACTAATAAATAAAAAAATTGACATCTGTGTTTAAGTTTCATGACGCCTTCTGCGAGCATACAGACGCAGCTTTGATTAAATATTTGTACGTACTCAAGAAATACGTTATTTTTTTGTAAGGTCTACTAAGAAACCGAAATTACTAGTATTCCCGTTAACCCCTCCCGCTAAGCTAAATTGCTTGTGTTTGGAGTGGGTTCACGTCGGTAGTGTACTGATCAGGATTTGAACCCACGACCTATTGATACAAAAGTCCAAAGCCTTAACCACTAGGCTGCTGCCGCTTCTAATTTTATTAAGTTATATTAGTTATTTTAAGTAACTTCAAAGAACAACGTAGTTTTTTTTAATAATTCTACCGCCTTATTTCAGCGGCTGTTTATCGAGTGAACAATTGGAGTTACTAGTAAAATATGGTTCAAGAAATTGGCATCAGCTTGTCACTACTGGGTTATTTCTTTTTTTGCACCTTATGTAGTTATTCTTTTATTTTTTAGATTATCTCTTATAGGGAGTAACGTGTCCTAATGAATCTGTCTAACATTTTTAAATTCAGATTGAAGAGACTCGAAAAATTAGAGAAATAAAATTGAAATAGTAGATTTTGCCTTGGAAATCATCAGATGTCTTTCTAGATATTCTTTTTTTCTGTTTACTTTTACGGTACAATAGTAACCGATTACTATTAGAAGATTGCACAAAAGATCAAAGTCCATTACTAGGACTTTAAACATTCTGAATTATTTATGGCTTTACAAATACAAAATTAACTATTGAACCAGAGGAATCTCAGTGTTTGTTCTTAATTACTGCACAGACTGACATTTAAAAAATGGTTTAGCATCAATATCAATTGGAAATCGAGAATACTTAAAGCTGAGAGTGTCACGTTTACTTTGGAAATAAAATTAACAAGCTATCCGTTAGACTAAAACGATTTGAGTGCTACGAACTATACGAGTATATTCTATTTCTTACTATAATTTCTGTTTTTATTTCAACGTATTTTCGTAGCTGTCTTAAATGGCGTTTAAGGAGTTTTCTTCGGTCAAACTATGTTAAAAGAATATTTATTCGGACATGGTACGTTAGTTTACTGTAGTTACTTTATAAATATTTCAGACCAAGGAAAGTTGAGAGTCAAAATCCTGTTATTTTCTTTTTTTGACTACTTTGACAGATGTGTTATGAAATTAAGTGTAAATCATAATCTGTGGCCTTTTTTTTTTCATTTGAGAGTAAAATAAATAAGAAAATTTCCATATTTGCTATGTCTATCTGTCTATTAAAAATCAATAAATTAAAGTAAATAGTTACTTTTTCGTCCTATTTTTTTCTTCCCATTTTTATCATATAGCAATGTGTAAATGTGTGTACAACATAAAATGAAAATTAATAAAATAGTGTTGTGTTACGTTATTACGATGATCACGTCAGTCTTATGTGTTATTGGATTTCAACTATTTTGGGGTTGCCAAATTACCATCTTATTTTTTATTTTTACGGATCATCTTTCTTTGGTCGGACTATGGTCAATGTTTAGCCTTCGCGTTTAGTTTCAATGGTTGACAGTTTGATTTTTATAGTTTTATGAGTAAAATATTCATTGTTAGAAAAAGTACCTACAGTTATTTTGTAGTCAACATTATATAACAGTAGTTATCTTCGTTGGAAAAGCAACAACAAATCATAGATAAGTAAATTGAAACGTGACCATAAATTGAGGTTTTGTTTAAAAAAGTTGTAACTTTTTAAGTCATAAAGTTGTAGCTTGCATTATTTTATTATTGATTTAGTTATACGGTATTGTTTCTTAGTGTTTGATTTTATTCGATTTTGTATTCATAAAATTATTATGGAACCGTGCGTAATTAAGGAATTATGGTCCTCTAAATGCTAAAGTAAGCATAGTGATAAAACTGGCAACTACGAACTACTAGCATTTTAGTTTGAGACATGTCCTTTCATGTCCGTTTCGGTACCCTGTCAACGAGTATGCAAAAAATTCATAATTTGTAATAATGCATTTACGGTATAAATTTAGAAATTTTAAACAATTTTATTCGTTGATGATAAATATTCTATCAATGGCAGATTCGTGTCAGATATATCTTTTTAACTTTGACTTTTTGATGACTTATCAAAGAATTGTTTAGGGATATCTAAAAAAGACAAAAAATATATTTATAAAGTACATAAATCTGTATCCGGATTCACGGATACCAGATTACTTGAGCCAATCGTCACGGAATCTTCGAATGTGTAAAAACTTTTTTTCCACTTCTCGAAACCACAGAGGATGTTCTACAAGCAAGGGGGTATTGTTGTAATTTTATTTTTTATTAATACACTTCAATTCTGTGATTATCAATGCCTGAGTTATTAGATGCCCACTGCTGCACAGTGCTTCGGTCGTGGACTGTATACCTAGCCGTTATAATGAAAGGCAGCCCTAACACTAAGCGAGTGGTATATTTCTATGAAGGTCAGATTCTATCTAGTCGATATTCTATCAGAGCGCAAGTGACGTCATACGGTAATTACTTGCGATACGGCTTCAATCATTGCGCGTCAGGGCAGATGTGACGTCACTATTTAATTTTTACATCTATGACAGTTAGATAGGGAAGTTGGATAGTTGGCGCTCCACTACTGTGCGCTTTTCGAGACACTTTTTGCCCGCAAATCCAATCTGTAGAACGGGTTATCGTCTGCGGTATATACCGATACGACCTTCAAACCTACGTACTCCTTCCTAAAAGGTCGGCAACACGTTTGTTACTCCTGAGTTGCAGACGTTCATGGGCGGCGATGGTCACTTTCCATCAGGTGACCCGTATGCTCGTCTGCCCCCTCTAACATAAAAAAATTGTGTATTAATACCTATTCGGATTTATAAACGATCAGTTCTACAGACGGGATTTAAAATTAGACAATTAGTAGAAGTATTAGGTTTGTTAGTTTGAGTCTTGTTTTATGATACGCCAAGGAAGTTTACAAAATAAATAATAAGAAGAATACCTCAGTTGTCCATTATAACAAACATAGTGACGTGTTTTCTTCATTAAGAACGGTTACTAAAACTCCATGGGGGTTTTTAGCACAAAAATGTCTATAATTTCTGTTAGGAACAGCAGATTTTTTTTTTAATTTGTTTGTAAATTATAAACGATCATATTATTATAAACTTTATTACAATATTTGAATTATATTGAAGGTTTTCTTTTATTAATTTTTTCAGTTGTTTAGTAACTTTGTTAATTAATATTATTTACAAACTAATTAAGAACAATATTGGTGTACATTATTAATAAGAGTCGTGTCGGTGACCTACATACAAATAATCCACCTAATTTGCGTTTGCAAGTAAAAACAATACATACATATTTGTTTTTCACTTGAAAACACTAAAGATACCTTATCTTGTGAAAAATTAGGTTGATTTTATCGAGAAGGCTGTAGCACTTAGACCGTAGCAGTTCGAAATACGAAACAAGTGCCCGGATGTTTTTCTTTTTGCAAGTCTACAGTTATAAAGAAAAAAAAAAACGCCACCGTAAGCGCAATACGTCCTTGTTTGTTTCACAAATAAACATAATTCTTATAGCAGTAAAATATTTGTATGTATTAAAGGTATTGTATTAACGTGTGTATTTCTGTAGAGCCCGACTAGTTTCGGAGCTGACATGGGCATGTCAAGCGTCACACTGGATGATTGCCATATTGGCTCCTATTCTAACAAACTTTTTTCTATGTTGGGCACCTACAGATAAGGCGTTCGCAATATTGACGCGGATTATGTAGAATGAAGTTTTTTTCCAGAAGAAATAAACTTTCTCAAGGAAGATTGGATTAATTATTGAAATGCACAAGTACTACGGGTTTTCCATCCACTTTTTTATTAACTTAAATTCTAACTTTTTTATTTGATGTCAGTGCCTCCATATCCGCGTGCGGGGACAAGGAGGAGGAGGGTCAGCTGAAGCAGTACCATGTGGAACAAAAATTCGCCGACAGGCGATACAAGGTTCACAGTGCCAGAACGTTCTTCTATCTCAACGAGGCTGCTTGTGAGAAGAATATGGAAGCATTCCTCAGAAGCATTGACGCTGTAGCAAGTGAGTATTCCTGAAAAAAAAAACATGATGAGCTATTTCTGAAAGGAGCTGGACAGAAGGTTGGCTTTAAAGCCGGTACTCAGGATGAAGTTCAAGAAAGTATTACATAGCACAATTTCTATTTATGTTAAATCTGGGTAACTGAGGGCTTTCTGAATCCCTGAAGTTAGAGGTGAGAAAACCACTATTGGAATCAGGCAGATTAGTATTCAGATGCCCTAGTGTCAGTTTATTTAACATCGATTCAATCGTCACGGTCCTTTTCGCAGGGTATACCTAATACGCAAATTTGTATAGTCGTAACGCGAAGTAGTTGTTCTGCATGTTAAGTATATCCCACGAAAAGGGTTACAGTGACCGCGTTCAGTGCGCGATTGGCCCGAACTGAAATCTCAAACGATTGCAACGACCAACGCGCTCACTGTCGGGAACGAGTTGATGTAAAATAAACTTGCACTCGGCCCTCAGGTTCGTGAATGACAAAGTAACCCAAACTTGAAACTTGTATTTTGCATTCATGCACTCATATCTATATTTTTTACTAGCTTTTCGTTCGCGTGGAATTCGAAAAGCGCTGCCTGAGTGGGTTCGATGCCCGCACCGGGCATAATTGTTTTTCTGAGAGGAAAACCAGCCTAAGTTAATCCTTATGTAGACAGCTACCTGGTAGTAAAGTATTATCGAAATCGGTTTAGTCGTTTAGAAGATTACCCGGAACAAACGAACAGACAGACAGACAAAAAATATTTAAACTGGTTTTTAAGCATAGGTATCGTGCAAATAACCGTGTGAGCATGAAAAAACCTATAATTTTGACATTACAAACTGAGGACTTCAATTTTATTTATTTGTATAGATCCCGGAAAGAGCCGACATACGACACATTAAAGGCCCATATTTTGCCAACTATAATTGTGGTCTACTTAAGAATAAGATGGGAAAATTGGGAGTATATTGAAAGCAAAGGTACATAAGCACCAAATTATGTGTAAAATTTTGGAGGGAAAATTGATGCACCAGACCTTCTTGAGGAGTTGTGTGTTGTGTAGTATGCTTGCGAATCTGTGTTTATTTGTATTGTTTTTTTTTTATGTTGAAGTCTTTAATTATTGTAGTAGGTAGGCAGGTGGGAACGGAAGTCAAGGGTAGAAAAAAGATATTGGTCATACGGATAAATTGAAGAATGTACTCAATAAGACGAACAAGTCAGGGTGGCATACCAGTGACCTGTACTGGCTGGTTGACTTATAACAGTTTAAAAATTAATTATTTCTTTTACAGATATCACCAAAAGTACAGGGTTAATGGGCATCAAACTCACAGCCCTCGGCAGGCCGCAGTTACTTGTGAGTATCTTAATTATAGTTATGTCCATAATATTAGGTTTAGTCAAAAGTTATCTGGGCCTTAATTCTGCAGTTTAGTATTGTATCAATAGACTGTCGTCGGAAAAGTTTTGCACTTTGCGTATTCTACAAAGTATGTAAGACAAATGGTCTCACTATGACTTATCACTAAACTGCCACTGATACAAATGTCGTCGATGACTTTGTAATAGTTTGTGAGGAAATGATTGCTTCATTTTCCATATACGGCTATGTTGTTGATATCACCATTGATGGTGCCAATGGAATCTCAAATGGCATCTCAATGGCGTGTCAATGGAATGACAATTACGGCAGGTATGTTAGCATAAAATAGCAGATTATGCTTTGCAGCCAAAAAAAATTCCTGGGTCGTATTTCTAAACGATATGTTATTATTTTGCACGTAATTTTTTTATTATTTGGATATTTGAAAGACATCCTTCATATATAATACCCATAGTTTTATTTATGTTTGTTTTATTGGTCAAATTGGATGTAAAATTTTTTGCTTGTTAGCGTTTTTTTGTCAGTCACGATCTACAGGACACGACAGGCTCTATAGATGTTTTTTTAACGTTTTCATTATTGATATTATATATTTATAAATTAGAATCACTTATAAGGTAGAATTTTCACAAAAACTTGTAAACTCACTAGATTGCAAATATATTTTAGCATAAACACTTAGCAAGGACCCCATTGGCGCTCCTCTCCTATAAAATTTGGTGCAAAACCCTTAGGTACTAGGTTTTGACACGAGACAGATGAGACACAGGTTGCTAAAATATTACGCACACACACGAAATTCTGATTCATAACGTTGGCACGTTCGCAAATCTATATTAATATACATATACTAATGTATGAAGTGCCTGTTTCTTACATAATCAAGTCTTGGCAGAGTCTATATTCTGTCGTAGCCAAAATCTTACGCTAGCATTTAATTTTTTACAGTTTTTTACGAGTATATTGCAATAACATTTTAATTTTTACACAGATGTTTTAATTTGCATATTGAGTAAACTTAACCTGAAAGCAGCAGTACGATATGAAACGAAATACCTATTTTGCCCTTCTAAAAGTTGCCAATTTTGTAATTTTACACAGCAACAGCCTTTAATAGCCCACTGCTGGACATAGGCCTCTCCTTAGAAAGGAGGTTTTGGCCTACTATACCACGCTGGCCAGACGGGTTGGTATAGGGTTGGTATAGCTGTGGCGGCGTGCTGTTGGCGGCGTCATTGGACATCGCCAACGCATTCAATAGTCTGCCATTCAGCTGCATCAGGGAAGCACTCCACTATCATGGGGTGCCAAAGTACCTCAGGCGGCTAGTGGCAGACTATTTAGAGGAGCGTACCGTCGTGTACGAGGACCGAGATGGTAATTTGAGGTGTCGGCCCATGTCGTGCGGTGTTCCACAGGGGTCTGTTCTTGGACCCCTCTTGTGGAACATAGGGTACGACTGGGCCCTTCGCGCCGATTTCCCCCCCGGGCTGGGTGTAATCTGTTACGCAGACGATACCCTGGTGACAGCCCGGGGGGCAAACTTCCAAGAGGCGGCGCGCCTGGCCACAAGGGGAGTCTCCCTGGTGGTCGGGCGCATTGAGGCGCTGGGCTTACGGGTGGCCCTAGATAAGACGGAGGCCCTGTTATTTCATGGGCCCCGTCGTGGTCCACCCCCTGGCGCCTCAATCGTGGTCAACTCGGTCCTCGTACCGGTTCGGGCCCAGATGAAATATCTGGGCCTGATCCTCGACGGGAGGTGGCTCTTCGACGACCACTTCCGACAGCTTGCTCCAAAGCTGGTCGGCGCCGCGTCTGCCCTAGGGCGACTTTTGCCCAATTTGGGTGGACCCAGCGTCGCGACAAGACGGCTGTACACGGGTTGTCCGGTCAATGGCACTATACGGTGCACCGGTGTGGACGGCGGCTCTGACCGCCCAGAATAGGGCACGCCTCTGGCGCCCTCAGAGGGTAATGGCGGTCAGAGCCATACGCGGTTACCGCACCGTGTCGACGGAGGTGGCGTGCGCGTTGGCCGGAACTCCCCCGTGGGATTTGGAGGCGGAAGTGCTCGCCGAAGTCTATCGGCGAGTGGCTGACTCCCGGGCGGAGAGCGGATTTCGCCCTCCGCCCGAGGATGTGCGCGAGTGGCGCGAAGCCGCTCGCCGAGCCACGATGGCTCGTTGGTCGTTCCGGCTGGAGACTCCACGCGCTGGCTTCGCCGCCGTGGAGGCTCTCCAGCCGGTCATCGCCGAGTGGGCAGGGCGGCAGCACGGGACCCTTACCTTCCGGCTGACGCAGGTGCTTTCCGGGCACGGTTGCTTCGGAAAGTACCTGCACTCGGTCGCTAGGAGGGAACTGAGTCCCGCCTGCCACCACTGCGACTGCAGTGAGGACTCGGCCCAGCACACGCTGGCGGTCTGCCCCGCAAGGGCGACGCAGCGCCGGGCCCTCACTGCAGTAATCGGAGTGGATCTCTCGCTACCGACCGTAGTACGCTCCATGGCCGGTAGCGACAGTTGTTTTACCGCGGTCGCAACCTTCTGCGAGGAAGTAATCTCGCAGAAGGAGGCGGCGGAGAAGGCCCGGGAGGACGACCTCCACTCGGACCCGATCCGCCGCCGGCGAACCGGGCGGCGGAGGCGCGCCTATCACCGCCTCATGCCGCCCTGAGTGTGGCCGCGGGTGGACGGGGTGGGTTCCCCTCCACCCGCATTAGTTTGGCCAGCCGCGAGGGGGCGGCGTCCGCGTGTGCCGGACGTCGCCTAAAGAGAGGAACAATTTTGAGACGGGGCCCGCAACTGGAGCGGGCCGGCGCTAGGAGGGGTCCGGATGTCTTAATAACAGCTGTTCCCGGATCCCTCCTATTACAGGCGCAGAGTGGCACACCGTGTGGTTTTAGTCGGTCCGAGTCCGACACACCACCCCGCCGCAAACCCCGGTGGGGTGACGGTCCGAGGGGATTTCCACACGTTAAAAAAAAAAGGGTTTGTTTCAAGTTTTCATTCTCTTTGCATTGCTGTTGTTCTGCGTAGTTTGCTCCCTTAGTCGGTTCTTACGACACCCACGGAATGAATAGGGGTGGTGACACTCTATATTCATAATCCGTCATCACACGGACACGTGTAAGATAATATATTTTCTCGCTTTTAATGTAAATGATTTACACGAACTTCTTTTTTAAATACTTTTTAAATTACCTTTATTTGTTACTTTCAGTTTACTTCATATTTATATCAGCTAGCTTATCGAAATTAAAAACCCTATTTTAAGAAATAAACAACGTTTATATAGTGGCAGGGAAATACAATGATAATTCCGTTATGACGGCCAGTTACAATTCAAAGTGTTTATTGCGTAGTAATGGTTGTGACACAGTTTTAAAAGAGAGTTTTTAATATTGAAATTAACAGTGTTATTATGTTAATACTAGCTGACCCGCGCAACTTCGTCTGCGTCTCTCAATAGTAATAAATTTTCTCCGTTTTTGAAACATTCTTCATTGGTACTCCGCTCCTATTGGTCTTAGCGTGATGATATATAGCCTATAGCCTTCCTCGATAAATGGGCTATCTAACACTGAAAGAAATTTCAAATCGGACCAGTAGTTCCTGAGATTAGCGCGGTCAAACAAACAAACAAACAAACTCTTCAGCTTTATAATATTAGTATAGATTAAAATAATTATTGGTATTTTTGATCTGTCAGAAGTAGAAGTCAGTCAATATATGTAAGTCAGTCGTGAACTGTCAACCATCTACCCTTCCCATTTATTATTTATACTACTAGTTATACAACCAGTTTCTGTTAATAGCGATATTTTCTGTAGAGATAGGCAAACTAAAAAAGCTTTCGTCTGAAGATCCACGTCAGCAGACATACTACCTATCTTCTATTCCTATTTTTTATTTAAAACTAACAAAAAAAAACATTTCTTTCCAGTTGCAATTGTCAGAAGTGATTATGCGTGCAAGAAACTACATGCATGAGATTGGAGGCGGAACTGGCAACGTACTGGCTCACCATAAGACTATTGAGGACTTTCAAAGGTACTTCGGTGATCACGGTAGCAAACCCGAAGTGCAAGACTTCATGAAAAAGATCACATCGGATAAGAAAGGGTAAGTTTCATGCAGTTACTTGGACAAATAGTATCTATACCAAAGATATTATTTGTTAGGAGGGATCCGGATTGAGGGGAAGTATGCAGCTGCTTCCGGGATAGGGATAGCTGGTTAGGTGCGGCGTGGATTCGGGGAAGACCTGAAATCACAGTACATTGTCCTCCCCATGGTAGGGTAGCACAATACACTTCTGGCTCCTGCGTGCCTAAGGAGCCTGCGATTCGATGGGATTTTCCACCCTGTCAACAAAAAAAAGTAAGGATTCGGATGTCTTAATATGGATGGGCTTAATTTATGGGTGCAGTGTGGTAGACCGTGTGGTTTTAGTTGTTTCTATACCGATAACCGTCCCACCTCGAACACCGATATGGCGATGGCGCGAGGGGTTTTCCACACGCACAAAAAAAAAGTTACATGTAACATTGGCATTTTTTACTTAAACTTTAATAAACATTATTAATTTTCTGTTTTAGTTTGAAATTTAACCATAATTAATTAAATTATTGACTTATCTGTTGGTGTAATGGCAAGTGATTGAGATTACTATGCAAATATTTAGCGTGAACAGCATTAAATACAATTTCAGGAAAGGTATTTTTTTAATTATGTGAGTTCGATATATTTTAAATGAAAAAAAAACCGTTTGACAATTACAGTGTGCTTCACATATTCTCGTGGGACCGGTCAGTGGCGATATCTTTTTGCATTTGTAAGCGTTGTGTCGTAAACATAGCTAGTAAATGTAAGCCGTTTCATAATATCATACCACAATGTACTGCCATACGAAAAATCCATTCATTTTTCCAACTCGGTATAGTATTCAGTGAGATAAGCATGTTAAAGCAAACATACATACTAAAATAGATGCGTAAAAATGCGTGTCTTACATTATTAGGGCAATCATATAAAGTGTGTCATAAATGACATCCGCAACTGTCACCTGTCAAATTCCTTCTGTCTTGGAAATGTTACGTAATTTTCGTTTTTACTTGTGTTGTTATATGCTAAAACAGTGATTGTCCCTTAAATCCCCTAGAAACCTAGCTGTGAAATAATTAGCATGACAAAACAATAACCAATTTTCATTAACTAGATTCAACACAGATCGTGTTAGGATTTAAAATCTTGTCAAAATTTTCGCGCCAAAACAATTTTGTTTTTTTTTAGTTTAATAAGTGATATCATTCTTATTTGCTTCATAAGTTACTCATTTGCTTATGAAAAGATAATTTTATCTTTTCATAACAACTTAATGTATACTCAGATTAACTTTTATGGCGTGAATATAAAAAAAATCTATCTGTCAGATAGATTTTTTTATATTCACGCCATAAAAGTTTGAATCAGTCAACTTAATGTGTACTTAGACTAAAAAAGTATTTAAATACTTTTTTAGTCTGAGTATACATTAAGTTGTTACGAAAAGATAAAATTATCTTTTCATAAGCAAATGAGTACATCCTGTTACATTGGATTTTTTTATTGAATTTTAATAAAAAAAGTTTTAGATTTTATGTTCGCTCAAATATATCTTTTCCGAATTGGATTACAAGAAGTAGATTTTCATAAAATGCATCATTATAACCATTTTCAGCTTTTCACGTTTTCATCCTGAAACTATGTTTTCTCTTTCAGAATTGTTCACCTATTCCCGTGGACCAACATTCTAGATGAAAACATGAACCTCTCGGACTCTTTCCGAGTGCCTGACCCGAAGACGGGCCAGATGCGTCGTCTCATATCTCAAATATCTACGAAAGAAGAAGAGATGTTCCGCAACATGCTCCGGCGGCTGAACCATATCATCAAAATTGCGAACGACGTTGATGTTAGGATTATGATTGACGCTGAACAGACATACTTTCAGCCAGCCATTTCTAGGATTTGCATTGAGATGATGAGGAGATATAACAAGGTGAGAATTGAAAGAACTTTGTCAATTTTATATTATTCTCCTATTATTCTCCTCTATACCTCTTGTCACACAAGTGTGACATTGTTTGACAAGAGGAGTAACCTCAATACCTAAAATATCTAAGTATAAAACGTGAAATTTGCATTATTAACAGTAAACTTAAAAATATTTCCAATTTTGGAACTGCTGTTTTAATTGAATCATAATATTAAAAAATATGTGACTTCATAATAGAAAGGGGGGAATCTTACAAATGTGACCAACTGTGGCAAGGACGGGGATGGGAATCAAAAATCCATGAAATTCGCATGCCTTAAGTTATGGAGGGGCCCCTCATCAGGGCCCTGCTATTTTCCCAATTTGATTTGGAGTAGCTGGTTTCTTTTATGATCGGCCTCCTCTCTGATGCCAGCTCTTGGAAATGTAATCGTTTTCAGACGGGACAAAAGAAGAAGTTGAATTGAGGCATCAAAGAGAATAGTAATAATGACTGTTATTAAACATTCTAATTTGTCCGTTTGCATTGATGTGAGTCACGGTGGTAAAACATTTTTTTTTTGTCTACAGGATAGGACTCTGGTGTTTAACACGTACCAAACTTATTTGAGGAATACTTACAACGAGCTGATGACAGACTTGGAGCAGGCACAACGCCAGAACTTCTACTGGGGCGCCAAGTTCGTTCGGGGTGCTTATCTTGAACAGGTAACGTGATTTAGTAAATGAAATGTAGCAGCGTATGTTAAATATTTCTGATGCTCGTCAAGTACCTCAGGACACTCAAACTCTATGCAGAAATCTGTAAAGGCCTGTTGTTGTGCGAAAGTGACGGTTAGAAGACTGTATATTGTCATTTGACAAGAAAACAGTCACGTCAATTGTCGATATTAGAAATCTACGGTGTTTTTCATGATCCCCATAAGTGCACTTACCTCATTCTTTCTCTGCATCGCCCAATCGATCGACAAGAAGAGCATGCCTTAGGCATTAAGTCCGCCGATGTATATATTTGTGCATGAAATCATAAATAAATAAATCTTCTGATATTACAGGAACGCGCCAGATCGACGGCGATGGGTTACGAAGATCCGACTTGTCCAAATTACGAAGCCACGACGGCCTCCTTCCACAAGTGTCTGCATGAGGTCCTAACAAGAGTCTCTAGTAACAAGGAGAACCTTAATGTCATGGTGGCGTCCCATAACGAGGACACAGTGCGGTACACTATTCAGATGATGAACGAACTGAAGATCAAACCCGAAGACAAAATCGTGTGCTTCGGACAATTGCTTGGCATGTGTGATCATGTCACTTTCCCTCTGGGTATGTTTATACATCTCTTTGCACTCATAGCTTGCATATATCCTATGCTCCATATACCCCTTGCTGTTTGTAGGGCTGGGTCATAAGATCGTAGCTCATTTATACACCACTACGACCTTGCAGTTCCCCTTCGAACACAAACTTACCGTGACCATTCGCTATCCACTCGATGACAGATGCACTATTAGTACCCTAATTACATGTTGTTTATTTACAGGTCAGTCCGGTTACTCTGCCTACAAGTACGTACCCTACGGCCCTGTAGTTGAGGTACTGCCATATCTCTCTCGGCGAGCGAACGAAAACAGAGGCTTCCTGTCCAAGATCAAAAAGGAGAAAAAACTACTTCTTCAAGAAATCGTACGCCGAGTTTTATCTGGACAAATGTTCCACAAGCCACAGGGCAACTACACTCCCATGTAAATATGTACCTTAAGTCAAACGTGTTATAGTGTAATTTAATTTGCGGATGTTATGGATGCCAATCATGTTGAAGCGATGTGCATGTAGGCTTCTAGTCGCTAACAATTATTGCGTGTTTTGTCCAAGGATCTCTAAATATTCAGTGCGATATACAACAACACAAAGATTTTTAGTCAGCCAATGAAAATCGCCGGTAAAAAAGCTTCGTTTAAAAAAAAACCGTGACTAGTATTCATAATTACCTACAGCTGTATTTAATTTGTGTTCTTAATAGCTTAATCAATTACTGTTTAAATCAAAAGTAGTTTCGAAATAATTAAAGGGCGAGGGGAACGCTCAGAGTTCTGATTTGCTGTAATCTTCTTAAGAATTTCATAAAGAAGAATTCTACTCGATGTAGAATAACCCAGCTAAGAGAGTAGTTTTTCTTGTTATAATCCCGGAAATAGGGTTAAGTCGGCAAATTCGACAATCTACGTGAAAACAAACATAAAGTGTTTAAACATAACACGTTTTCTTTGCAGTCTTATGACTTGCAATTTTTCCATATTTCAATGTGTTTCAGTTGAAAAAAGGAAGCACTGTGTTTATGATTGATGCAGCTCTGGGCCCTATGTGTCAGAGATATTTAAGGAGGTAATTCTACCCAGATTTGTTGATTTTTCTACGCTGGTAACTCGCGTACCTTACGTAGTATTTGACACATTGTATCTGTCAATTCCATTTTAGTTACAAATCTTATTGTTCATTTCAATTAGAAGACTTCGTATTCCTCTGTTGTTTTAGTTGTGATGTTCGTTTATGATGAATAAATAAAAAAACCCTTTGAATTAAATGTAGGCACTTATTTGGATCCTTGGTAGTAGTAGTTGACTGTGATAGTTGTATGTTGGTAAAGGGGCTATTATTGGATCCCCTAAAATGTTTTTTGAATAAAACATCATCGTCCCTCCTTATAAATGTTTTTAATTTTGTCACGTAAAAATACTTTATTTGAAATACATTTTAAGGGATTGGTAAAGTTAAAATAGAAGAAAAATATTTAGAACAGGCCTAGACTAGCTGTGAACTAAAAAAGCTGCATTTTGTTCTCAGCCTGTGAAGTTAAAAAGGGAATTGTCAAAGAAAGTTAATCAAGGTATTTCAAGTGAATACCACATAATGTACTTACAATGGCTTGTATAAAGCGGGTTCTATCTTGAATTAATATAGCGACCGACAATTGTAAATATTATTTTTAATTTTATTTATATACGAGAAGTACAGTGTTGCCACGTAAATAATATACCTAAGTCGAAGTTTTACTTTAACTTTATTTTTAAAATACTAACTGTATTCGGTCTGCAATAGTTTCAGATGGCAACACTGGTCAAATTGAAAAATAAATGTGATTAGTATCGATTGTTTATGCTTTCTACAGTTTTTATAGCCATGTAAGCACAGATCAAGCGCCAATTTATTAAGAAATTAATACAAAATAAAAAAATATTGTGTACATTTGTATATTAAAGAACAAGTATATATTTTAGTTATTAAATATTAATTTATTAAATTTATGTTATATTATATGTCAAACATTAATAGTTATTATTAAATGAATAAGTTACAACCTTACTCACGACATATAACGATTAAAAATCTTAGACACAATTTAAAGTTTCCAACACTGACCTATTTGGGATAGTGTCTTAAATTTGGCGTTTGGTCTTTTGAAATTTATAAAAATAAAATAGAATCGACACATGTTAAATTTTGAAGCTTAATTTGATTATAATCTATGGTTTTATATAATTTATCTACGCTTATTTCTAGATAGCATTAAGAACGAACTTAGAACGATACTTACATTATTTAGAATGAATAATAAACCTTTTATAATGATTTCACCACATAAAATTATGAAATAAATCGCAGCATACTCGTAGTTATATTGTACGCAGGGTTCTGTTCACAATAGAATTATGGGTAGTTTTAAAAGTATGTATATCGAATATATTGTAGTATTTTTTATGAATGAATATTACGGACAAACGAATCAATGTAATGAATAAAACGATAATGAATGAATGAATCAAAATCATTATTTCTAAAGACGTTCCGACACAACACAAACTATTCAAGCCTGTCGCTTAATGCCACTGCTTTTTCAGCTTTTTTTTCGTCATATTTTAGCGTTTTTAAACAACAAAAACAGCTTTTCTCATGAATTACAATCCAGACACAATGTTTATAATATAAGTCTACGCATACGTGGTGTAAAAGATAGAATTATACATAATTATTGTATCTGACGAAGGTCTGTATTCAGTTATCGTATTTACAATGTGAGCTCAGTTCCTAAATATTATAGTCGTCACAAAATAAAGGGTCGGCTTTGACGCTGTTGAATGAATTTTAAATGGACGTACGACCGTTAAATCGGTCGGTCTTCACCCAGGTGATTTTTAATCGGCCGATAGTTTGATCATTTTAGAAATCAGCGTGAATCTGTATGGCAGTGCACGCATTTGATGATTAAATATATAGCTCTTAAACTATGGAAAATGAGAGCTAGATACAATTCGATTAAATTATCGAACTACTATCGGCCATAGTCTAACGTCAAATAACGTGTGTGAAGTGTGACGTAAGCAGGCGCACTCCATTCAACAAAATAATCGCCGGAATGTTGATCAACTGCACCATGTGTTTTTTTGTGATTTGGATCATTTCAAATCGTTATTACGTTGGTATCGCTTTTTTATTCTGGACTTGTTTTTGTCATCGATTTGGATTAATAATTGTACTTTATACTAATTAAATCGATTTATGTCTTACCTTTTAAAGCTTTTTCACATTTAAATTTTATGGTAATTATGTAATTAATTTTATTATTCTTTTGAACATCTTATTTGAATATTCAACTATAAATTCTTAGATTTTTTATTCGATTAGCTTTGGTTTTCTTTTTTTTATTGAACAGGCTATTTGACAACATTGCAAATATTCTCCGAATTATGGCCATCCTATTAGATAATAGGATAGAAAAGTATAATTTACTTTATTTCACGCTGATTGGTGAAAATTTTCAGCAAATTTAGCGAAATAAATTCAATTTTGTAAATTAATTTTATTAAGGATTAAAGTATGAAATTGTCGATTTGTGCTGAAATATTGAAACTCGTTTTTTTCTAAGATGTAACATATTTATTTAATCGAAATATTTACCCTCATTATCTATACATTGCTGCCACCACCTGTGTGGGCGGTCTTCCACGTGTCGAAGTTTCCCTTATGAAAGCGTTTAAACCAAAAACGCGTTCATAAGCAGTCTCCTCTCCAAACGCAGCGTTGATATTGCCAGCCGTTTCTGCCGCGTTAGCTTCGCGTCGGAACTCAAATTTAATTCAATTTTCGAATTATTCAGCTTTCACATCTAAGCTGAATAAAAAAAAAAACAATTGTCAGTCGAAACTCAAATATTGCACAAATTTTAAAACAAGAACCTTATAGTACCTATGATGATACCTACTACCTATGATGATACTTTTTTCACATGATACCATCATGTGAAAAAAGTTTTACACCATGGTTTTATGTCAAATCAAAGTATCTATTACTACACAACGGCAATTTCATAGTTTCCCCTATTATCTCGAACGGGAACGAGTATGATTCGACACAAGTCTGTGACGACACCGCAATAGTCATGTGTCAAAAGTTAAAATATATGAAGTGAACAAAACACACAATCTCAATTTGTGGATTCCTTCGACCGATTTCAAGTGCGCATTTTTATCTGTTTAGAGTGTTTTAGTTATTTCTAAAAGTATTTTCTAATAAATTCTGAAAGAAGTGGTATAAATATAGCTAATTGCTAATCGTAACCACCGTTTTCGTCTTTTGGGATCCGTTGGCACAGAAACAAACAGTTTGTGTGGAGTAGTTTTAGACTTATTTTTAAATTTTGCCACTACACCATTTATATGCCATTTAATATAAAACATCTTAACAAAAATAATGAAACACTTGATGGCCACGTCAGCACTCTTTTGTTTTAGTCAATTACGTTACGTCATGATCTTGGGGTGACTGGCGTGTGACGTCAGTCGTAAACAATAGCGATTTAAATATAAATATATATAATTTCCCGGAAATATTAATGTACTATGTATAGAATAATCTAAATCATTTTTTAAACTTAATCAAATAGCCTGTTGTTTCGGTCCCGCACTGAAATCACAGCGATATCACGTCAAACCCGATCTGTTGCATTGTTCGACTATAGTTATTTAAGCAGTCCTGTGTGTGATGTAAGCTGACTCATCAGTGTCAAGACATTTGTTTATGCAGTGTCCCTTTCTGAGTAACGGAACGTAACGGATGACGTTATCTGTCACACAGACTGACACTGTGAAATATTGACAGTGATGTAATGTCAGTCAGTGTTACACTGTCAGTGTTAGGTTGTCAATCAGTGAATAAGGACGTACCGCAGTTATGTAAGTTATTGTTGTAGTATGATCTAAAGGTATCCTCAATTATAATTTTATTCTTTGTGAAGTAAGTTAATTTAGTTTTTCCTTATAATCTGTTTTTCTTAATTTATTTTGCAACTTGTTAATGTGCTTTCCTAGCACTAATTATTGTAATGCTATTTTTAGATATTTTACAGATATTATGTATATGTAATAAAGACAACATTTGTTTTGATTTATTTATTTTTTTACCCAATTTTATTTTACGTTATTTGAATATAATGACTAGTTTTATTATGAGACATTTTTTTTAATCTGTTCTCAATTTTGGTATTCTCACTCAATATTTAAAAAAAATATCTTGTAGATTAAATAAAAAAGATGGTTTTTGTATTGTACTTGAAGAATTAAGGGTAAAATTGAAACAAGTATGAACAAACTGTTTTAAAATTTTTACGGTTGGTCTGGCATTTCAATTTTCTAGTTTTTTCTTCTAAATTCTAAATATTAAAAGATGTTATTGGGAACATATTTAGTACTTTT